TCTCATGCTCTTGTTGAGAGAGATGAGTTTCTTGCATAAAAATAATATCTGCTTTCTCTTTTTTAAATTTTGTCAATACCTTTGACCTTTTAATTGGGTTACCCAAACCGTTCACGTTTAAAGACATTAGCTTAACCTCAGTAGACTGTACCATCATCAAAATGAGTCATTCTTACACCACTATGTTTCCACAGGCAAACCTTAAATAAAATAAACTGTAACACAGAAACAAGCCAATAACTGCTTAGAACAAGCATTATAACAGAAAAGAATAAAGACTTCCAAAGTCTGAAGAGCGTTCTCACGTTTTCAGTTGAGGAGGGGGAAATCCTCTCTCCCGGAAAGGGCCCCCTCACCAATGAGTCCGCTACAGAGTGTATCATAGATCACTTACGTGTGTCCAATGGCACAGCTGACCTCGTCATCCCGCCAGCCGGCGCACATACATTAAACATCATTATGTAAAGGGTTGCTATAACGTGGGTTTTTAAACATTGCTGCGACCATGTTCAAATTCCCGTAGGCGTTCTTTAGCTCTTCTGGCAGTGTCCACACTCGTGGTTGATCCCACTCGCTGCCACGATGTAGCCCGCTGGAGACGATCCAACAGGTGGCTCTTACCCGGCGGTCTCACGGGCATCTCCACGCTGTATCCCCGCCGACGCAGCTCCTGCGCTGCCTCCCCGGCACTGCCGTACACCTGCACTCCTTCTTCCCAGTGAATGCGTATCCGATTGAAGGGCGTCTGAAAACGGATGCCCTTTTCTTTAAGAGCCTTTTTAATATTGGCGTACGCTTTGCGCTGATGGAGAACGGTGGCTGTATAGTCATGGTCGAAAAACAGCGGTTTATCTTCCATCATGATTTTCTTTCGCCAGGCTTTTTGAATAACCATCTCCTTGATGCTGTACTGCTGGAAATTTACTATAATGGACCTCGGACGCGAGTTTGGGCCCGGTCTAGGCGCCAGGGCTCTGTGCGCGCGTTGTATTTGCAAGTCCACGTCGCCGAGCTCAAATTCAGAGCGGAGCATTTTTTCAACAAATTCTATCACCGAGCCTTGTTCAGCGTTCTCTGGTACACCATGGATCCTGATATTGTTTCGTCGAGCCCTCGATTCAATGTCGTTCAACCTGTCTTCTAGTTTCTGTTGATCCTTTATTGCCTGTTGAAGGGCGGAGTTGGCCTCCGCACTCCATGTTTCGGTGTCATCGATCCGCGTCTCCATCTCGTTAATTTTCCTACCGTGTTCTTGCATGGTTAGCATGTTCGTTGAAAGTTGCTGGTTAACTTCTTGTTTGAACTCAATGAACTCTTCTCTCATATCATGCTTAATTTCGTCTTTGAATGTTTTTAAGTCCTCCTTAAGTTCCGACTTCAGATCGTTGATCTGTTTGCTTAAGGTTTCAAGCCCCGTGGACACATTCTCAGATGTTGGTTCGCCTCCATTTTGTCGGTCCTCTTCTTCCCGCATGTCGTCCTCCTCGTCTAGGCCTGCACGGTGTGGGTGGTTATTCGTTGTACTTTGCGCCCCTTTACCTCTGCCTTTCTTTCCCCCCGTCATATCAATGAAGGAAAATCACTTTTTAAAAATCTAAAATAATTACACGGGGGTAAATGTAACGCCGACTTGCGAGAGCTAAGCGCTCAACCTGCCATTTCCCTCTGCAGCCAAACCGGAAGTGTCGGGTGGTTTCTATGCATATTATGTACTTGAGTGTTTCCATTTCATTGATGCAATATTAACTGCATGTGTGTGTTGCTCCAGTTTCATAGAGTGATCCAGTGGTTAGTCTGCTGTATCATGCTGCTCTGGTCAAATCAATATAAACCGCACTGAAGGATGCAGAATATACACTTTTGCATGCATTTTAAATATTTGATTGTCAATTACTACTTATATAATGCATTTACAATTACCCTCCCCTTTTTCACAACATCTCTTTTCTGATTGGGAGTTACTGACTTGAGGGTGGGGTCTATATGGTAATCACATGATATTTGGATGGGAGACCTCATGGGAAAGCTAGGTTGTTGCCGGAAGAGTTAGTGAGGCCAGCAGGGGCACTCAACCTGTGGTCTGTGTGTGTCCTAATGCCTCAGTATATTGCAGGGGACTCTATACTGCACAGTGATCGCCGCCTTTCGGATGAGACGTTAAAATGAGGTCTTGACTCTCTGTGGTTGTTAAAAATCACAGGATGTCCTTCAAAAAAAAAAAAGAGTAGGGGTTTAACCCCAGCTTCCTTGCCAAATTTGCCCACTGGCCTCTGTCCATCATGGCCTCCTAACCATCCCCATATGATATTTGGCTTTGTCTCCTCTCAACCAATCAGCTGGGGCCTCATGTACGAAGACTTGCATGGAAATCTTAATAAAACATTGCGTACGCACAAAGCTGTAAAAGTGCGTACACAGAAAAAAATTCAGATGTATGAAACACTGCGTACGCCGAATCTCACGCATATTCTTTTGTACATCTGAATGAACGTGAAACTGAGCGCAACATGCACGAGCACAAAACCCCTCCCTGCCTCCTCCCCCGTATGAATATGCTAATGACTATGCTAATGGCAAAACCCAACGAAAAAGCAATGTCAAAAGCAAGCAAAAAGAGAAACTTTGAACAGAATGTGAATTGGAGGTGCTGCTTTCGGAGGTAGACTGGAGAAAAGCGGTGTTATTTGCAAGTTTGTTCTCTGGAATTAACAACAAAAGAAAAAAATAGAGTGGGAGAGTTTAGCTGATTCAGTTAACACAGTTGGGTCTGAACATCGCACTGAGTGCATTTAAAAAAGAAATAGTGTGGTTTATAACTGAAAAATGTTGTAGTACCCTTAGCAGTCTCAGTGGCGCACCTCATAAGAAGCATGTGATCACGTACTGACATGTTCGAGCATAATCTCGGCTCGAATCCAGCGATTAATAAATTCTTTATTTTTTTCCCCGCTACATATCAGATTTTGCCCACTATTTATCAAGAGAAAGACAAGTAGGAATCATTAATAAGTTTGTGCATCATATTTTATTTGCACATTTATTGAATGGAAATGTTTCTGATTCACGCATGCAAATTCATCTTCAGATAGTGTCTTTATAGCAATGTGCGTGCGGTAGATCGCTTAGATTACATTGGGAAAACAGGCGACCGCTGCAAATTGTGCTTTAATGTTTAGCTGGTCAACTGTATGGTATGGAAATCTTACATACCTACTATATGAACCCGTCTCATACAGCTGCCATTGCAAGGCTCAGACACTTTGTAGAAAAGAATTTAACACAACTGCCTCTAGGAGTCGCCAATGGAAATAAAACAGACACGCACAAAAAATGTGCGTACGCCTGCCAGAAAGCTGCCGTGAACCTGCGCACATTCCCACGTTCAGTTCATTGTTAGTAAATCCAAACGTGAGCGATTCTGAGCGTGAAACCTGGCGTACGCAAAGTTTTTGTGCGTACGCAGCGTTGATACATGAGGCCCCTGGTGTGTGGTGTGGGGTCTGCGCAATTTAGCTGTCATCACGTCATCCAGGTGGATGCTGCACACGGGTGGTGGATGAGAAAATTCCCCCTAAAAATGTGTAAAGCTCTTTGAATGTCCAGAGAAGCGCTATATAAATGTAAGGAATTATTATTATTATTTATTTGGCACCCAATTAATTCCCGATTGACAAAATCAACAATGCTGTCTCCCTAAATGTCAGTTCATACAATTTAAAAACAAGAAATTAACGACATTTTAGTCACCATAATTTTTGCTCTGTCAATGAAAAAAATAGTTGAAATCATCTTGTTTTGTTCAATCAGTCTGAACGAATCAGTTGAGCAGGTGATTCAATTAATTGTAGAGAACTAGTTTAAGGGGGAAATATTAATAATAAATCATAATTAGTAATTAATTATAATATTTAGATGAGCTATACGCTTTTACTTGTTGCCTTTGGGTCGTGTTCGGAGATCTAGATCTGTTTTTATTCGTTCAGAGAACTTAAATTTCGGCTTTACTTCGCTAAACATAATCATCATTACATACTCATGCAGAAAACCAGCAGTCAGTTGCTTAATTCCTAAATGAATCAGTCCTTCTGAATGACTCAAATGATTCAGTGACTCATTCACTAAGACGGTCACTTCTTATCACCACCTACTTCTGGTTTTATCTTTGAAAATGATTTTTTTCCTCTATTCTTTCATATTTTTAAAAGATTCATCTCATTACATTATGCAATACATTGAACTGTAAAAAAAAACAAAATTACTTTCTTAATTTTTTGTTGTTGAATCAAATAAAATGTTCTAGTCATCTCAACCTACATTAGTCAAACTGACTAAAAATATTAAGTTAAACCTTATAGAACTTATAGAACAATTTGACTAATTATGATATTTTGTCATAATTTTTGACAGTCTATATGCACATAAAACAGCTTTAAGTACCGTCTGTGTTCAGTGAACTCATCTAAAGCCACTTAAGAAGCAGTTTCTGCATGGATTTTGTTGACGCTGATTTATTTTGGCTGGTAACAGCTTATAGTGAATTATTACTCAAATTAATTTGACATAAAGATGATACATAGGGTTAGAAGGGATAAAATATTCAATTCAATTCAATTCAGCTTTATTTGTATAGCACTTTTACAATGTAGATTGTGTCAAAGCAGCTTCACATAAATGGTCATAGTAACTGGAACAGTGTAGTTCAGTTTTTAGTGTTTAAGTTTAGTTCAGTTTAGCTCAGTTCAGTGTGATTTAATCATTACTGAGAGTTCAAACACTGAAGAGCAAATACATCAATGCGTAGCTCTACCAATCCTGAACCATGCGAGCCAGTGGCGACAGCGGAGAGGGAAAAAAAACTTCACCTGATGGGAGTGAAGAAAAAAAACCTTGAGAACCAGACTCAGTTGGGCACGACCATTTTAATTTCTCCGCTGGCCAAAATATGTATGAGCAGATTAATTTTTTGAGTGTATAAAACAATATTTTCTCCCTTTTTCCAGGATGCTGTAACAATCTGTACTTTGGGAGTGGGAACAGCATTCGGGGAGTCAATTCTGGACAACACTCCTCGACATGCCACGATTGTCAGCCGAGAGAACAGTGAACTTCTGCGCATCGAGCAGAGGGAGTTCAAAACCCTGTGGGAGGTTCGTTTGTGTGCAAGTGTTACTCAATGTTTTTATTACAGCTGCTATGAGCAATGAACACCCATAATGACTGACAGGCAGAACTGAAAATTCGGGACAGAAAACCAATTGTCTGCCCAAACAACAGGGAACATTCTCAGAATGTTCTGGTTAGGTTATGTCAATGTTATGAGCAAACGTTTTTTTTTTTTTTTAATTAATGGAATATTCGTTAGTAATGATCTGGGGCCTCATGTATCAACGCTGCGTACGCACAAAAACTTTGCGTACGCCAGGTTTCACGCTCAGAATCGCTCACGTTTGGATTTACTAACAATGAACTGAACGTGGGAATGTGCGCAGGTTCACGGCAGCTTTCTGGCAGGCGTACGCACATTTTTTGTGCGTGTCTGTTTTATTTCCATTGGCGACTCCTAGAGGCAGTTGTGTTAAATTCTTCTCTACAAAGTGTCTGATCCTTGCAATGGCAGCTGTATGAGACGGGTTCATATAGTAGGTATGTAAGATTTCCATACCATACAGTTGACCAGCTAAACATTAAAGCACAATTTGCAGCGGTCACCTGTTTTCCCAATGTAATCTGAGCTATCTACTGCACGCACATTGCTATAAAGACACTATCTGAAGATAAATTTGCATGCGTGAATCAGAAACATTTCCATTCAATAAATGTGCAAATAAAATATGATGCACAAACTTATTAATGATTCCTACTTGTCTTTCTCGTGATAAATAGTGGGCAAAATCTGATATGTAGCGGGAAAAAAAGAAGAAAGAATTCATCAGACGCTGGATTCGAACCGAGTTTGTGCTCGAACGTGTCGGTATTTGATCATATGCTTCTTATGAGGTGCGCCACTGAGACTGCTAAGAGTACTGCAACAGTTTACAGATATAAACCACACTATTTCTTTTGTAAATGCACTCAGTGCGATGTTCAGACCCAACTGTGTTAACCGTATCAGCTAAACTCTCCCACTCTATTTTTTTTTCTTTTGTTGTTAATTCCGGAGAACAAACTTGCAAATAACACCGCTTTTCTCCGTTCTACCTCCGAAAGCAGCACCTCCAATTCACATTCTGTTCAAAGTTTCTCTTTTTGTTTGATTTTGCCGTTGCTTTTTCGTTGGGTTTTTCCATTAGCATAGTCATTAGCATATTCATACGGGGGAGGAGGCAGGGAGGGGTTTTGCGCTCGTGCATGTTGCGCTCAGTTTCACGTTCATTCGGATGTACAAAAGAATATGCGTGAGATTCGGCGTACGCAGTGTTTCATACATCTGAAATTTTTTCTGCGTACGCACATTTACAGCTTTGTGCGTACGCAATGTTTTAGTAAGATTTCCACGCAAGTCTTCGTACATGAGGCCCCTGGTCTTTAATAATCGACTACATTGAACATCTACACATAGACATCACCTATACTGCAAGTTAACTACGTTTATATATAATACGTTTAACTGATAAAGTTACTAGTAATTAGTCAATTAAAGTTATTTGTAACTAATCCAGTCAACACAGGCTCATTTTGAAAATGTAGCTCTATATACATTTCTGGAGATCGCAAATTATGTAGCCAGAGGTACGTATGGCTGCATTTCGTCTTTAAAACGAACGCTATGACACTGTATCTCCGTATGGACAGCTTTACCGCTGTTACCAATTTATCCAGTGGCTAGTTTATCCAGTCGGCGGCCTCAAGACACAGAGGGTAGTTTACCACGATGATGAGGTTCGAGTTCGGCGAAGAACGGCCAAAAAGTAAAATAAACAAGTAAATAACAGGGTGAGAATGTGGTCAAATCTGAAAATGTGGTAAAAATCAGGCGAGAACTTGTCTTTTTCTGGATTGCTTTTTAAAACTGTTGGTTGGTTTTAGGAAAGTGGGTGTGCGGGTCAGTCGGTGCTTTTGAAAACACTACTGGTTGGGTTTAGGGAAGGAGGAGGCAGGGTCAGACGATCGGTTAGTCAGTCAGTCGACAGCGGCCTCTGGTGGATTTATGTGAGGACAGCAGGCGCAAATGGCACTCACAAAAGAAATTTAAAATCTGAAAAAGCGTACACAGCGGCCTCTGGTGGATTTGCGAAAACTGCAAAACAAATAGAGCTGCTGGAACATATTTTTTCACTCTCCAGAAATGTATATTGGGGTATGTTTTCAGAATGAGCCTGGGTTGAACACAGTTATTAGCAACTAATATTTGTAGTAACTAATAAGCTTAACTTTTCTGATTTGATTGCAATACAATCCTTTTGTAAAGCAGTTTTGAAACAATAATTATTGTAAAAAGCACAATAAAATATACTTGAATTAAATTAAATTGAGTTGAATTCTCAGAATGTTTATCACAGATTGTTTGTGGAATTTTTTGTTTCCACTGAAACTATTTATTTAGGCTTTGTTGTTTTTTTAATGTTGTGGTACATTCAGAATGTTTTTAAAACATTTTTAAACGCTAGAGGTTTTGAATGTTTAGAAAACAGGCTTTTTTAATGTAATGGGGAAGTTAGCAAAATGTTAGGGCATATTTTTTGACTGTGTAAATATAGCGTAAACTGCATAAAATTGAAAAGAAAAAAATGTACAATTTTAATTTTAAGATTAAGAAAATAAGTTGTGAGGGGTGTCATAAAAAATAAACTTACTTTAAAGGGAAATAAGGTATTTTTAATATAATGCTATTATATAATGTTTTTTTTCTGTTGCCAATTGAAAAAAAAATAATATTTATAAACCAGGCTATAGCAATATAGTAATATTGAACTTAGTAGTTTTTACTTTTTTATATTTATATGTATATGTTTTTTTTATTCCAGCCAAAATTAAAGAAACAAGACTTTCTCTATAGAATTATAGTATTATAAGTAAAAATAAATATTATTACCAATATTTTTATTGTTTTATTATTATTATTTTTTGCAGTGCACTTAATCACAAGGGGTGTCTTTATTATTTGAATATGGTATGAATATGTATTGACCTTAACAATAACTTTTTAATGTTATTTTTTTATATTTCAGCCAAAATTTAAGAAATAAGACTTTCTCTATAAGCATTATAATAAAAATAAATATTATTAACAATATTTGTATTATTTTTGCAGTGCACTCATAATGGCATCTAATTTGAAATATGTTTCAAGTATACTCTTACTATAATTGCAGTCATTTTATTAAATAACTTATTCATTTATTTTCAAAGAATTATAAAAGATATATCAAAGTTTAAAAAAATACAAAGCAGTTTTCAGCACTGATTTAACACATACAGTATTGTTATACTTTTTTAAATTAGCACAATCATAGTCATTATATCAGTAACAGGCACTTTTCCAACACTGAGTGTTAGTAACACTAGGAGGCGCTCGACTGCTTCTTCAGCACAGCCCAATGCCAAATCCCAGGCTTTAACAGGCTTTCACAGAGTGTGTGATTGTGCTTGTGTGTATGCGGAAATGTAAGCCACTGGTCTCAGCGATAATCGATTCAGGAGTTGTGTGTTGGTCTTTGAAATTTGTCACATTAACTTAGCAAAGAACTTGCACTGGGAAATTGAAAAGGAAAGATATCTATTTTTCGCCTTAAGTGGATTTGGCAGAGTTGTTAAATCTCAGTATATGAGAATGATGTTCATTTCACACTTGGAAATGGTCCTCTTTTCACTTCTTATTAATGCTGAAATCATATATATTTGTTTCTTTTATTTTTATCTTTGCCATAATGACAATATATAATGTTTTAGTTATTTTACAAGACGCTATTCAACTTTAAACCTAACTAGGTTAAATACAGCCACAGCCGTATGACCTGAAGTGAGTAACCCAAGACCTGTTACTCACTGAAGCTAAGCAGGGCTGAGGCTGGTCAGTGTCAGGATGGGAGACCACATGGGAAAACTAGGTTGCTGTTGGAAGTGGTGATGGTGAGGCCAGCAGGGGGCGCTCAACCTGCGGTCTGTGTGAGTCCTAATGCACCAGTAAAAGTGAAGGGGACACTTTACTGGGGTGAGAGACCCCCATATATATATATATATATATATATATATATATATATATATATATATATATATATATATATATATATATATATGTGTGTGTGTGTGTGTAATACATCATTATTTATATAAATTATATATTTATAGCAGGTGACATTGTAACTCAGTGGTTAGCACTGTCGCCTCACAGCATGGAAATAAGAAATTCAAGGGATGGTTCACCCAAAAAAAAAAAAAAGTAAATTACGTCATCATTTATTTTCCCTTACAAGGTTTTAACCTTTTAGGGGTTTCTCTTTTCTGCTGAACACAAAAGTAGATATTTTGAAGAATGCAGGTTGACTTCCAATAGGAACAAAAATACTGTGAAAGTCCATGGGTATCATCAACCGACATTCTTCAAAATATCTCTTTTTTTGTATTCACCAGAAGAAAGAAACTCAAAACGGTTTTGAACAAGGAAAAGATGTGTACATTCATTTTCATTTGGGGTGAAAAATCCCTTTTAGTGAGTGAGTGAACTGTCTGAGTGAATATGGCACTATAGTTCTGAGTCTAAACACATAGTTAAAAACACATGGATTGATTGCTGAAATATTATGAGAGAAGGTCAATATGTCGTATTGACAGATAAGAATTTATTAGTAATTATTCACTATATAGGACGCAGAGTTATTTCCCTGGGGTTTGCTGGTCAACAAATTCTTATAGCTCCGGTAAACCATTCACACTGATCTCACACTGATCAATGCAGCATGCTTTAGTGTGCAATGTCATTTATGATTCAGTAATGCTGCTTCAGTGAGAAATAGTTTATTTCCTGTTTATTGCGTTTAGCTTTCTGAAAGAAAATACAATAAATGATGAATTGTGGGTAAGAAAACATGATTAAACTGACCAAAAATTACATATCGTCACCTTAAAATGATAGAATCTGACATTTTTGTCAAAATTGAGTTATTGACATATTCTTATTAAATGACAACTTATATACCTTATGGGATGT